GTAAAGAATCTCCTGCCCAGCGCTCAACTGAAGGGCCAAGATTGATTTGAAGATTTTGTAAAACTTCAGTACTAAAGTTCTTCTCTTGTAAAGAAAGGAAACTTAAACCTCACCACTTAGGTGAAACAGGAGAGGACCAGCAGGGCTGAGCTGTGGACAGGCAGGCTGAAATACGAAGAGCTAAAGGCTGAAGAACTGCAGGGAATTTAGAGAAGCCAGGCGTAGCCTCAGGAGGTGTGAGGCCGCAGAGTCAGGATAATCACGGACAGTTCTGGAGCTTGTGCTCAGGGCAAGCGTTGTCCTGGGCGCCCTTGTTTGCATTAATCATTCATCGTGAAGCTGCATAGAAATACCAGTTGAGTGATCCTGGAGGAAGGGAAAAGGGACTTCTCAGGGGACCATACCCCAGGGAACAGGTGCTCGGGAAAGAGAGACTTTTCCTCTAAAAAATAGTCTGTTAGAGAAAGACAAATACTGTACAATATCACTTATAGGTGGAATCAAAAAAATACAACAAACTAGTGAGTATCACAAAAAAGAAGCAGACTTGGTACAGAGAACAATCTGGTGGTGACCTGTGGGGAAGGGCAGGAGGGGGAGGAGAGGAGTGGGGGATTAAGAGATACAAACTCTTAGGTATAAAATAAGCTACAAGGACATAGGGTACAACACGGGGAATGTAGCCAGTATTTTATAATAACCATAAATGGAGCGTAACCTTTAAAAATTGTGAATCACTATATTGCACACCTGTAACTTACGTAACATTGTACAGCAACTATACTTCAATTTAAAAAACTGTGTTGACAAGCTCCTCAGTTGGTCTCTGGATTGTTCAGAGGAAGAGCACCTTTTCCCATGACCATGGCGACAGTCCAGACGGAACTGCTTCCTGAGAGCACAACAGGTAACGGAGGGAGACAGTGCAGGGAGAGCAGGTGACACCAGCAGCGCCACACGCGTGTTCTTGGAAACCTTCCGACTAATTCCATAAAAACAGACACCCAAAATGGTGGGTCTGGTAAGAAAAATGGGACTGACTATTGCAGTCTATGCAGCTTTGCAGCCAGAGAACCAGCAGAAACAGGGACAGCCCAAATAAAAATTCTGGCATCATTAGCTGCTGCCTGGCTTAGAATCCCAGTGAGCCCATCGGCCCTCATCCCGAGGGCTCCCGCGTCCTCCTTCTCACTGGAGAAGGGCTGGGAGTCATTCCTTTCTGATGGAGACCTCTCTCTGCCAACTGAAGTGTATGGTCCAGGCTTGGCCGCCTTCATCAGTCGGTGTCCCTTCCTTTCTGGACTCAGGAGGGGAGCGGAGCCTTCCCAGCTGCTGCTTCTGTTCTCACGGTTTCCCAGGCAGTTTAGCAGCATGGGAAGAGGAGCAGCTCTTGAAACCACTAAACTCTTTCATGCCAATTTTTATGCTAAGTGAAGGCACTTCTGCAGGGTTTTAGCTTTGTGTCAAGGCCATCCCATAACCCTTTATTTGAGAGAAAGTATGCCCTTGATCACTCTAAACCTTTAATGTTCTGCAAAAAATTGCCCATGAACGGAAGGTACTCAAGGGTTATATAAATGCCATGCCCTTATTTGCTAATCCTATTAGCTAATCTGCAGTGCAGCAACGTGCCTTGTAACAAAACAGACTGTTTTCTGGCTTTAAAAGAGGGGAAGAAGGAGAAACTATAAAAATGAAGATCATTTGAGTTTTTGCAATTTAGGATGCCTGAATTTCACCTTGGCCTCGAGATAAAAATTTCTACCTATTTCAGACAGCTTAAAAAGCTGACAGAGCATGTTGTGCTGGAGTGGAGTGTAATGGAGTACACAGTGGAGGACAGGCTGTGCAGCTAGGAAGATAGTGTGTTCAGGAACCCCAGTGATTTCCTGAACAACGATGGTGGCAGTTACCCAGTGTATACCAACATATGACAAGAGATCCTTCATCCAAGCATCCAATCTAGACGTCACAGGATGCGGGAAATGTACATCAGCCATCCTTTGATATCGCCATGTTTACCGCCTACAGTCGCCCCAGTGTAATCAACGGAAACACTGCAAGAAGTAATACTCTTGACAGTGCAGCCATACTCAAGGTTTTGGTGGCTCAGAGTTGGCCTCAAGGCCATGCGATGCCTCAGCCCCGGAAGGAGGAATATTCTGCATTGTATCTATGTTGCAGATACCAGAGCCTCAGGTGACTGAATACAGAATAAATCCCCTTATGTTTTCCTAAGAGCAACAAAGTGCAGTTTTAAACTCATGTTACAAACACCAACAGCCCTCTTTAAATTTGTGATGGGGTTGGTCAACCCTGTGTGTTTTGAAATTTTTTACATTTTGTATAAGAATGTAGCTAACCCACATCACTCCAGTGATAGTCTCCTGCCACATCCCTTTTCCTGCCCCCCAATTCTTCCCTAAATCTCATTTGCAGCTCTTCTTTATTACCGAAATATATGTTCCACCGATCACCCTTCCCTTGTGGCTTGGCTTTCATATTTCCAGGTACATAACATTCATCTCTTGAAAAATTGCTCTATTTTCAAATAGCTCCTGTAATTTTCCCTCACTGGCGCGAAGGGGTTTGTTTTCTCCACATGTGCTCAAATGGCACATGAAGAAACACGGAGTTACTGGAGTGTAACACGATGAGTAATGGGCTGGAAACTCAGAGCCTCAAAGTTCTGATTTCGCCTCTATCTCATCCTAAACCTGGAAAAGGTGCTCTCTAATCTCTTTGTGACTCAGTCCCTATTCGTTAAATCACATTAACACTAGCTCACCTCATAAAGGGCCTATGAGATAACAATTTTACAATACCGACCCCTGACCCACAGTCTATTCATTCATAAAGGATGTATCTATATTCTTTTTTAAATTATTTAGTCCTCATAATAACTCTCTGGGAGAGGTAGTTTTCTCATTTTTCTGTCTAGGAAATCATAGTTCATTGGCAAGAGAAAAACTCCCCGCTCTTTCCGATATTCTGTATGTGTGTTTATAGACAAGTGTGGGTGTACGCTAAAATATATACACACAGACATGCATACACACACCTCCTTGAAAATTATGATTCACAATATGGAAAGTTTTAAAAGGAATTCTCAGCTGAGGGTAATAGTCTCTCTGCTCAGTAGAAATCGTGAGTCCAACAACCCTGCATGGTATTTTTTTTCATCTTTATTCTCCAAGTTTAGTTGTAGTTCCTTCTCAGAATTTCAATACTTTTTTTCTCTCAGATAAAGAGGACTTGTGGTGACCTGTATTCCCTTTTATCTTCCAACATTTTGCTTTTATCTTTCTTTATGTGATATAAACAATTCAGGTAAGTATTTTAGTTGCTGGTTCAGTTGATCTTAGACATGAGGAAGGTCCAAGTGCCACGTGTGATGTTATGGTATCTGGAAAGCTTGACTCCATCAGCACTCGTGGGTGGGTTAATGCCCTTGGTGAAAAGGTGAGAAAAAAAAAAAAAAGAGCCCACAGAGACTGCTGAGAAGGTCTTGTCCTCCACTGGTGCAACCACTGGTCAGTAGACTCAGTCCTACCCCAGTCCCCACCATCGTGGAAACACCCCCAGCAGGAGAATTCAGTGGTTACAGCAGTGGGGGAGGAGGGGGCAGCGGCGCTGACCTGCAAGAAGATCATGTTATATTGATGGCATCGAGCATGATATGTCCAATAAGTTTTCTAAGATTCCACAAACCAGACCTTTCTCTAGATTATACAAGAATCTTGTTACTGAATCCAAACTCGTTCTGCTCGCACCGCACAGCAGGCCAATAAACCAGAGACAAGGTGTTGGGGCAAGGAACAGCGACTTTATTCGGAAAGCCAGCAGATGGAGAAGATGGTAGACTTGTGTCCTAGAGAATCATCTTGCCCGAATTAGAATTTAGTCTTCTTTTACACTGAAAGGGGAGGGAGTAGAGTCTTGGTTCTGATCAGCCTCTAGAGGGGATGTGTTCATTTCTTCCTGCCTGCAACCATTCTCAGGCAGGTCTGGTCAGGATGTTTCCTGTGAGCTAAACAAAGGTATTTTAGCTTAATGCTCGTTTGCCTGGGAGGCAGGGTTCCCAGAGATGGGCCATTATGTATAACTTAAGCTTATAGGCCAAACCCCTTTAGTGATTAACAGGCAAGAGAATACAAAGGCTAAAGTGAAAGAAGCGTATCAAACGTAGAGTCAGGTTTAGAGTCTTAGAGTGGCTGTGATTCCTCGGTGATGGTGCCATTACAGAATAGCATTGTCCAGAGATGCTGGAAAAGTTAAATATCTGTGTAGCCCAAAGTGGTAGCAAGTGGCCCCATGTGGTTACTGAGCACCTGAAATGTGGCTGGTGTGGCTGAGGACCTCAACTTCCGATATTCTGGAATTTTAGTTAATTACAAAAAACTGCATGTGGCTAGTGACCACCAGATCGATCCATGCAGATCTGCAGACTATGCATATTCCCATCATCTGGGAGACTAATTGCAGTGACATCAAAGGACTTTGCCACCCACTGGTCTTGAGCACACTTTGGGGATGAAAAAGGTGTGAAGAGATACAACTTTCAAAGCCACGGTAAGAGTGTGGAATTGCAGTGTCAACCCAAGGAAGTGATGGTGGCTTTTCAGAAATGAGCAGAAGGCAGTGTCTCGGGTTGTGACTGTCCTTTGATTTTCTCCTCACAGGCTCTTTCATGTTGGTGAACACGTCCGGGAGGTCAGAGGGACAGAGAGCCCACCTGCTCTTACCTCAGCTCAAAGAGAATGACACCCACTGCATTGATTTTCACTACTTTGTATCCAGCAAGAGTAATTCTGCTCCCGGGTTCCTCAATGTCTATGTGAAGGTCAACAGCGGGCCTCTGGGGAGCCCGATCTGGAACGTATCTGGAGACCCGAACCGCACCTGGAACAGGGCTGAACTGGCCATTAGTACTTTCTGGCCCAACTTCTATCAGGTAAGCCCTTTATTTTCAGTTCTGACGCATCCTCTAACTTGTGAAACCATCCATTGTTTTTATATTGATATAAGCAGAGAATGTGCAAGAAGTGTTGGTATTTTTAGATCAATGGAAGGAAAGCTTAGGCTATGTGATCGGGAGTGTATGAAGGTTTTACAAAGCACCATTCACACTTGCTTCTGTGGATATTGACTTCAGAAAATAAAAGCAGCAGTCTGCAGCAGGGCAGGAAGTGCTAGCTGCAAGGACATTCTACTTTCTCTGTTAGTAGCCGTGTCTGGCCCAGGGAGACAGAGCCCCTGATGGCAGAAGCAGCAGCCCTTCTTCCAGAGCTGCATCTCAAGAGTCGTGGGTCATTAAGACGGGAGCCCGCGTGGGGGGCCGCTGGTGAGATGCAGGGCCCTGTTCCCACCCCGTAAGCAATGGGAAGAAAATGCCGTATAGACCGAGTTCTTGTCATGGGAGGGGATGCTCCTGGAAATGTTCTGCTGGGACTCACATTTCTCAGCTGGAGTGGGCATTTAAAGTGACAGGAGGGTGGAGGCCAGGAGCAGTTAGGAAGTGGTGCAAAGCAGTCGCGACGAGTGTCTGCTTGTATCACGAAAGCATCCTCACTCGCAGACCACCTGGGGAACTTCGTGACGATGGCGTTCGTTGCTCTTTCTCCTTTATCCACGGCCTCTTTAAAAATAACTTCCTGTTAGGAGCACTTAATTAATTTCAGGCTGGGAGAACTGCTTATTTTGCTTTTGTTTTTCTTAATTCCTTTGGCTCACCCAGAAGCCAATGGGAACGTGTATCCAAGACCCCCTCTCATGGTTAATTGAGATGCTTGGGGAGACACAGTAGGGGAGACTGGGTCTTCTCAAGGGCTGCTGTTGTCTGAGTGGTGTGAGCGGCCCCCAGGAACCCACTCCACAGGCTCGGTTTATGTTAGGGAAGATGCATGAGTCCCACCAGCTGTTCTGTCCCTGGACTTCATAATGGCGCTAAGCGGGCTGCAGATTTCTTGCCGAATTTATCTTTGTTCCCTTGTACCTGCAACAGTTTCTGGTATTTAAACATTTCTTCAGTGGAAATGAAGGGGTAGTGAAAGCTCTGTTAGTACACATGTAAATTGTTAAAATCCTTTTAGAGTGCACTTTGGCAATATATTTTAAAGGTGTTAAAAAATTTAGAGAGGTCTAATTTTAGCAAGCTGCTGTTAGAAATTCATCCTAAGGAAATAATGAAGAGTCGTTGCAAATAATTAGCGGCAAAGATATTCATGGCCATGTATTTATAATAATGAAAAGTCAGAAACAGCATTGCATTTCTAAACAATAGCGGATTAGTTAATGTATGCTACCTCAGTACAAAAATTCATTTTGCTACCATTAAGAATAACATTATGGAAGATCATTTTAATGATGTATCCAAGCTTAGGATATTAAGTGGAAAAAAACTGGTATAAAATAGTAAAGCAATATGTTAAATTCTATTGTTTAAATTACATATATGTGTGTGTGTGTGTGTGTGTGTATATATATATATATATATATATATATATATATGTAAATATATAAAACTAAACTACATGGTGAGATAAATATATTAAAAAGTGGTATCTCCCCAGCTAGTGACTTGAATTTTTCTTTCTGTCATCTGTCATAGTCTAGTATTTCCCCAAGGTACGTATACTGTTTCTATTTATAAAACAAAAAAGAATAAAAGATATTTTTTTCTTCCAGAGGGAAAAGGCCCTATTTAATAAATATCCTTCTTTTTTATAAATGTATTGATAACCAGTCAGTGGTATAATTCAAAACTACGGCCTTTGGGACAAAGTTTCTTCTTTTGTAGGAGTAAATGGAAACAGGGAGGTGGGTTTGGCTAAGCCAGGCTTCCAAAGGCTTTGTATGGTGGGCTCAGCTAAGAGGCTGAAATGTTTCTTAGAAAGTTCTTTTGGAGGAGACCTTCCCACAGGAGAGAAAGCCTGGCCAGTTCCCCTCTGGAACCTGCACCAGACACCCTCATGCCATGGGAGGGGCTGCACTTGGGGATGTTCTGCTGGGACCCGCATTTCCCAACTGGAGTGGGCATTTAAAGTGACGGAGGGGCGGGGGCCAGGAGCAGTTAGGAAGTGGTGCAAAGCAGTCCCGGCAAGTGCCTGCCTGCATCACGGCCACTCCTGGATGAGATCAGAAGGTGTATACCAAGGGAGCTCTCCTGGGACCCTCCACAGCCGCCAGAGCCTGGTGCATTGGCTTCACTTTGATCCTGGCTATGACCCAAATCTTACATTTTTATTTTGCTTTTGTCTTTGTCAGCTCAAGCTGCTGTGACGAAACAGCAAAACAAAGCAAACAAACAAAAAACAGACTGGGTGGCTCACACAACAGACATTTTTTCTTAGCCCTGGAGGCTGGGAAGTCCCAGACCAAGGTGTCTGCAGAGTAACTGTTGAGGACTGAGTTTCCAGCTTGTAGAGGCCACCTGGTCTTTGTGTCCACATGGCCTCTCCACGTGTGTACATGGTCTCCCTTCTTCTTCTTACAGGGGTGCTAACCCTGTTATGGGGATCTACCTTCGTGACCTCATCTAACCCTCATTACCTCTCTGATGCTCCGTCTCCAAGTTCTGTCACCTTGGGGGTTAGAGTTTCAACATAGAAATGTGAAGGAGATAACATCCAGTCCAGATTAGCCTTTAACACACCTGGATGTGACAGTCAGAATTAAAGGAACGATTTAATTTATCAACAATCTTAGGAGATCAGCCTTCAAAAAGGACTTATCGAACTTATCAGACTACAGCGGGCCCTTGAATAACGTGGGGCTTAGGGATGCTGACCGCCCACACAGGTGAATGTCCCCCCTGTAACTTTTGACTCCCCCCAAAACTTTGCCACTGTTGACTGGGAGCCTCACTGATCACGTAAACAAAATACGATTCGCACGTATTTTGCATGTTATGTGTGCTATGTCCTGTGTTCTTTCAATGAAGTAAGCTAGACAGAAGAAAATGTCCCTAAGGAAGTCATCAGGAAGAGAAAGTACGCCTACAGCACCACGTTGTATTTATCACTATCTTGCGTTTACATCATCTGGTTACCAGTGCATTGTCTGTCAGTCCCTGCGTATTGTTTTATACGATACAAAACACTGTAGATGCTGTATGGATTACTACCCCTTGACAACAATAATGGAAAGATAATGTGAAAAATAAATTCATATGTATTTACAGGTGTAACAGCTCATGCACTGATGATGAGGAAGCAGCAGTCTGATTGCTCTAGGGTCGCCTAGTGTAATGGGTGCTTCACCATAGCCAAGCCTCTGCATTCATGAATGGATTGTTACAAAATGTTTATGGCATACAGTATTCTGTCCTATTCATAAGACAGTATTGGAAACATTGATATATTTAAAAACAATACACCTGTTGATGATAGCCTGCTGTTCAGCTTCTCCAGTTATTAGAGAGAGAGGCACGCTGTACAGTAATGAAATTCTTTGATGGCAAAGTTATAAAACAGTAAGGAAACAAACACATTGTTAATTTGATATTTACTATCACTCACCATATGCCTGTCAGGATAGGCTAGTATCTACATATATTTTATGCATTCATGACATACCTCAATTTTTCTAAATTATTTTCTATATTTCTCGGCTATGTGGTTCATCTGCAAGTTTTTTCGAGTTGTTGCAATCCTCCACAAATTTTACAATGTGTTTATTGAAAAAAATCCGCATATAAGTAGACACACAGGGTACAAACCTTTATTGTTCATGGGTCAACTGTATATTGAGAGTAAAGGGGTCCTGCCTATCAGACCATTGTTAGTTTCCATGAGTTCTTGAGCTCTTTTGAATAAAATATTCTGCCTTCCCAGTTGTGAGCCTCTGACCCTAAACCCCCAGTTGCCCCACTTCCTACTGTGACCTCACCCTGTTCCTGAGCAGTGGGTGATTTACCGCATTCAGTTGGAACTTAATTCTTATTACAGCTTTTTGGTTCGCTGGGTGATTCACTCAGTGGCTTCATACTTGGGATTTAAAGGTGGATTTGTAGAGGTTCTTTAATCCAGTGTTGCCAAGTCCTTAAGAATCTGGTGATCAACGTTTGTTAAGCATTTGGATCCACTGAAAATACATTTGTTCATTTAATTCCTAAGCAGTCTACGCAGGCCTCAGCCTTCAAAGTTTTAGAGGCATAGTTAAGGTGGTGCTTCTCTCTCATAGTCATTACCCTAATAGTAACGTAAGCTGTTGGGTAAATGACGCTCTACAGAGGATGCAGGAGGGATGTCAGCGGGAAGGTTCCCACGTGTTGAGCGATGGACCTTAAAATCATCATGTAGAATGTGAATGATGTTCCCAGTTAGGAGGAGAAGGCTGAATTGTTTTAACAGAGGTGAAGGGGAAGGGGAACACTTACCAAATTCTCTTTCCACTCCTGGTCTGAGATGTCAGCCTAACTGGAGATGATCAGAATTTAAAAAAAAGGCCAGAAAACTCAGCCATCTGTGTTCGGGCAGCACCGCCCTGAGCAGGGCCTCCCTGCTGCCCCCGTGGGGCACGCCCACCCTCACTGAGGAAGCGACTGTCGGATCCTGAGGTTCTTGAAAACCTGAGTCATGCACACGCCATCAGCTTGCTAGTCAGTTTCCCAGGTAGATTTCTGCTCGAGGAGTTTTGCACTAGCCTGCGGACCTGCTTCTGCTTTCTGTGACTGTGATGCTTCTAATTGCAGAATGTAAAAAAATGTTTTCCTGGCATCACATATGTGTGCATGTATGTGACATTTTCTTTTATGAATGTAGTCAGGAAAAGTCAGTACCCAAATGATGCCTTCCTAGGATTCAGATAGGCTGTTTCTGGGACCAAAAGCTGAGGATGAAATAATAGGATGTGGACACCGAAAGGAAGTGATACCTCTGAGACCCTCTCTCAGCACACAGGGACTCGGCTTCCTCCCACGTCCCGTCGGTGCACAGGCCACAGGGTACATTG